TATTTTCTTGATTTTCCTTGTATCTATCACTTAAAAAATACTGTGTCCCAAATGAAGGAAGCAGATTTACAGAAAATTACTACGCCGAATTATATACCATCAAAACCACCAAATATATTTGAAACATTGAATAATTTACTAAATGGAATGGAAGTAACACCATTCCCTTACTTAAGCCAAGTAAATCCAAAAACAAAAAATATAGTTTACTTAATGGCACTTATAGCAAATGAAAATCAAGTTATTGTACTAGAAATAGATAAATTTATAAAACATATAATACCAGCTGGAAGTCGTATAGATTTCCAAGAAAGTGGAAATAAATTTGAAAAAGAAATATGTAAAAATATTGAATGTTCTGCAATAGATAGAGTAGTATTATTATATCACGAATTAGGTAGGTTTTTTGTGCTTTAAATATCAGTAATTTTAAGCATAAATTAAAAGTTGAAATGTTTTATTTTTAGGTATGAACAAAAAGGATCTTGAAACATTACCACCTAGTGTATCATTAATATTAAAAGATATAATGTATAGGTGTAGAGAACGTCCACCATCAAATTGGCCGATGCAAGCATATGAATTAGTAGATCGACAAGATTTATCAGCATTAGATAAACATTTAAAATCGTATGTATCAAGTCACTTAGAAAATGAAGGAAAAAATTATTCAATCAAAGATCCTGAACAAGACGATGGCATGGAATTTGATGATGCTGTATGTTTAAAGAACATTTATAATTGCTAAAAATATTTATAAGAGATTATTTATTAAATATATAATAATGTTACACAGGTATTAAAATTGAGATTTAACAAAGATCATAGAGTAGCAGAAGTTCGGAAACTCTTAAATTCATCAAAACCAGTAAGAATAGCAATAGTTCAGAGACCAGATGTAAGTGATCATGAATTTATAGAAGAACAGGAAAAACATTTACATGCATTATGCACAAGAATAATGGCACTTCCAGTAGCTAGAGGCATGTTTACACTCAGGACTTCAACTCCTATTATTACAGAACAATTACCAATTCCTCGACTTTGTTTAACTGGTATGTACAAACGATGATGCTTATATTTTTAGTTTCCATGATTATAAAATGTTATTATATAAATGTAGGGA